ATGTTAGTCAGCTTTCATGACGTCACAGCTTCATGAAATATGTATGTGCGGTAAGGAGAAACCGAAGCCGGGTATAAACGCACGTCAATGCCAAACAAGCGCCCCAATCTCTCTGAGTCGTTAATTGGTACTGGTCGTTTCTTTGAACACAAAAAAACACGAAAGCCTGAAATTCTCAGCAGGTTCTGCGAGTCTCTTTTGTGAATTACGCAGCCATTTAGTGATTATGATTCTAATGGAAGGTCGGGTAGGTGGGCCATCTAAATAGGTTGATTCCTTCTGACCGATACACCTTTCAAAACTGTGCAAATAACGCTAGGTGAAGGGCACTATATTATGCTCAGCGGCTCGGCCAAAAAGGACCAAGTTAAGGGCGTTGATAACGCTAAGGAACCGAGCTTTGATAACACCTTCATTCAGGGTAGCTTCATGATAGGAAACGACAGGATCGGCGACTGGAATTGTTGCCTAAGAATAAAATGGGGGGGGGGGGTGTGTGCCAGAGGAAGAGGTCCAGTGTGGGTAGACCACAAATCACTTTTAAAGAGATGGATTAAATATGTTGTATAAGAACACCGTATCGGTATTTATCGAGCAGTTTCTTCGAATAAGTGTGCTATCAAAGTTCTCATCTTACCACTAGAGATATGTGTCCTCAGCAATAGAGACGTAGAGCACAATGGAGCGCCCACTCTTCCCCCCCCCCACACGCCATTTCCACCTTTCGAAACATACAATTATGTGAAATGAAGCAGCCATATTCTCTGATTTAATTTGATTTAAAAGCTGAGTTTCCTTGCAAGTGCAAGGAAAATTAAGGGTAATTTTAAAAATTCTCCTCGATGCAGTTATAACGAATAGAAAGGATGCAGAACTGAGTCGAGCACACGTCCGAATACTACGTCTGGCTATATATTTGGGAAATAAACACGACGAACGATCTGAAGAGAAGCTGCTCTGAACGAACAACACGATCAAGCTGGAACACCAATTCAACTCAAAGTAGGAGTAAGAAGTAGACCGCCAGTCTCGAGAAAAAATCATGAGAGACCCTTAGAACGCTGTGGAGAAGTTCGAGAAGCAGACAGGGAACTAGGAGATAATGGCGCAGAGGAGAGAGGAGG